GAGAAAGCTGAGGAAAAACTTAGAAAGGAAACTACTGGCTTTTCTTCTTTCCTTTCAAGTAAGTCCTCCTTAATTATTTTCATAGTAATTTCCCATTTCCAGTGATCAGTGGCAGAATTATTTTATTTTAATACCTAGAAAGTTTCCATCAAACATGGAGATGGTAATGCAGAAATTCTGTCAAGTGATAGCCATTTAGGAACAAGACAGTCTTCTTTCAAAATAAAAATATAACTAAAATACCACTTTCCCTCTTCACTCCTTGCAGGAAATAAGTAGGAACTTCTTGAGGTAGTGGAAGATTTCATCAGCTTTATGGATCTGAATAAACCATTAAGTTTTAGATTAGTATCTCTTACAGATCAGTGTGGTATTAATCAATGTATAGGATACCTGTAAAACACATAATGACATTTTGCAGTTCTACATTAAATTCTGAGAACAACAGTATAACAGCAGTGAAGGATGAAAGAACTGTGGTAACCTAGATAGCCAAGCAAACAAAAAACATCCTTCCCTATTTCTATTATGTCTTTTTATATTTTGCCAAGGAAGAGACTGGAATGCTTTTATTTAAAGTGAAAACATTAGGAGAATCAGGTCTGCTTTTCATGCCTGAAACTAAGACAATACAACATGAGGGCATGAGAAGGTGGACCAAGGAGTAGCACCTACATTTGTTAAGCATCATCCTGTCCAGGGAGTGGGGATGCAGCAAGACAATATAACACAAATCCCCTGTATCATTCACTTCACATATTTAGGAGTGGTTCCATGCTTATTTCACATAGCACTTAGACTTACAGGCACCAGGCATCTACCCATTTCACATGTCAAAGTAAGAGGGTTGTTTAAAAAAAAAACCTAAATAACAAAAAACATACATATACAAAACCAAGTATACAATGTATGTCTTCCTTTAGACAAATCCCAAAAGACACCAGCTCAAGCAATGTATCACACACCCTTCCAACTTAAATGTCAACCACAACTTTGCAATTAATGATTTATGCTGTCTCTAAAGAGCAGGCACAGCTATGGACCCTGAAATAACATAATCTCTCCATATATCTTCACAGGCTTATGTAAAGGTAATTTTACCACCAAGTGCACACTTGATTGCTAAATACACATTTTAAAATTGAGTGGCATTTTTAATTTTCCCCTATCAGATTCGTACATATAGTAACTGACAACATCCACAGAAACAAATCCTCTGCAACAATTCTGAGCCAAAAACAACTTCATATAACCCACATCATGTTTTACATAGCCACACCCCTAGATAAAATGGCATCCAACCAAAAGAACAAGCACGTATTCCATACAGAATTACGATTTTTATTCTACAAACACATTCTGCACCAACAACAGGAAGAAATATATTCCACCTTTAACTAAGACATCTGAATAAAAGGTAAGGGAAAACTGACAGCCATGCAGCCCTGGTTGTGGAGTGCAGCCTAGAAAACAAATCCATGTAGATACAGATGTGTTTCTCTCAAATCATTCTTTTTCTACCATAAACAGCTTTATGAAAATCCTCCTCCTGTGCAAAACTTAACCACCACTACATAATAGTAGCAATTCATACAATTGCTCAAGGACAGAAATTTCCAGTTACAGACAGGAATACTGTTTCACAGAGAATAAATCTAATCCTGTCCTCAACCAAAAGAAGCTTTTCGGTAGCAGTTTATGCCAGATAAACTGTGGGATTTTGCCAAATGAAGGGGTGAACATCCTTCATCTCCCAGTATTTTCCTGATTTATTAGAACTCAACCTTTACTAAAATTTGCAGCTGCACATTAGTATCAAAACAGTGAGACTGTGGGAGGAATATGCACTACTCTTGGCAGTAATCTACAGTTCACTAGGTTAATTCATTCTTCAAACCTTACCCTCATCTCTGCACATTCCTTTACAACCAAGCCCTAAAATGACATTCTTAAACTTCATCATTTTTGAATCCTGAACTCATCTCAGAGACAATGATACGTTCTGTTACAATGAACTTATAGATTCCTCTGCACAGTTTTTATCTTTTTCTTTCTTTACTCAGCAGGACCCATAACCTCTACTAATCCTAACACCTTACTTCATTAAAAACTATTAAACTACTTTGCCTTTGTAATCCAACAATCGACATAAGTAGTTAAAAGCAATTCCATCATTCAGTAATTAACCACTTACATACAGCACCCAGAAAATTTTGTAAGTACATCTTATGTTAAATCAAGTGGTGTTTTTGCTATAGGTTTTTCCTTTCATGTATTTTGCAGACATTGTAACAACAAAACCCATAAAATTCATAAAATTTATCAATAGCATTATCTCCAGACTTGTACTTCTCAAAATCACCCATCTAGAAATCAGCTACATTGAAAGAGAATGGTTAATCTAATAACGTGAATGATTCAATCAAGCTTCACTTTACCCTTTACTTTTCATTTCACACAGTCAGTAGGTAAATAAACATGACATTATAACCTGATACTTGGCCATTCATTAGACTTAATCACTCTAACAATTTACTTCAAACATAGTCATTTCATAATGGCTAACATGACAGGCAAAGAACCTTAAGAACTTACACAGGTGGCATAAATTCACAATACACATTTACAACTTCCAACATCTAAAATATACTCACATGTTTAAGGATGTAAGAACTTAAGACAAACAACACAGTATGAGAAACTTACATTAAGGCTTATTTCTGTGGCTTGTTGATCCACAGTGAAAACAGCACTTTGCCAACATTAAGTACATCATAAACAAAAAGCTCACTACATCTGCCTTAAAGCACTAGCCATCCAGATAGGCACCATGAGCACAGGTAAAAGGAAGGTAAGATGTAGGTGAAACAAATATATGTTTGTAAAAACAGTATGGGTACAAGCAAGAAACTTCAGAGTAACCCCGACTTCTAGTGAAGAAGGAATGGGACAAAGATAATATCTGTTGAAATACCAGTAAAAATCAAGTGTAACTCCAAGCACAAGACACCCTTGATTTAGAAGCATTTGGCAAATGACACAGTAACAAATTACCCCAAGATACTAACAAAGATGTCTTCGCATTCCAGACGAAAGTGGAAAACTTCTTTTACCCACGTAACATAGCCATCTCCTAGCAGAGAGCAGAAAGGACCCAAACTCTACCAGAAGAAACAAACTAATAACATAAATAAGTTGTTTACAATAACTTATGAAATAACAGAAATAACATAGGTTATGATAAAAAGGGCAGGGATAAAGCCCCACTTCTCAAAATGCTATGATGACATCAGAAGAGAAGTACTTTGCACTGGGAGTACAGATCTTGTCATTTTGTTCAGCCTCCACAGGTCTCCTCTCATGCACTGAGGAAGATGTTTCTTTTATTGCAGAAACTCCTGTGCTAGTGGAAGCCAAGCCTCTCCACTCAGCAGCACTGAAGGTGGTCCTCACAGGCCACACTATGGAGTGTGAATGTGTGTGGTGAAATCCAGGACTGGGCTTTACCACGCTGGAGTACAGCAGTGCCAGGGAGATAAGGGACAGAAAGACATGGGAAGCAGTTCACTCTCATGCCCTAATAGCCTTGCCAAGGATAAAAGCAACTGTTCAGGCTCCAAAAGTCTTAGGGTAAGTCCTCTTCCTCAATTTCTATGCATCTAAGACATATTAACATATATAAAATAAACTTTGAAAATTAAAACTCCCATAGAAAATCCCACTCTAAAGATGAAAAAAAAAACTATGCAAGTGCCTTTTACTAATAAATGGAGCACAGGAGCCCACTGCTTAATGAGATTGTCAGATCGAGAATCTCAGAGTGAGAATATATGCAAGAGACACGGAGACAAAGCCACTGATCACCACAGTAATAAAATATCTCAAATGCAGGATCCAGCAGCTAAGGTAAAATATTAGATTCTTTTAAGGGCCTGAGACAGGATCAGTTTCTATAAAAATCAAATTTATAGAATTTTATGAAGTGTCAGGAAGGAAAGTTCAAGTGCAAGGTGATTGTGCTAACATGACTACAAGCATTCCTGCCAAAAAAATTACTGACTGTTCTCACCTTAAGAATCACAGAACCAAATCTGGAGAATACAGATACAATAGCCTTACTAGACAGTATTGAAAAACTTGCTACAACTCCTACAAAAATTAGAAGGCATTAACTGAGTCAATTCAATTTGACTGAGCGGCAGTCAAAGCACTGAGTCACTTCAATTTCTTCTTGTAAGTAAATCATAACTCAGGTAGATAAATAAACTAACATTTAATAAATAAAACCTCAGAAAAGGGAAGTGCAGAAGAACACAGTTTCATTTTCAATGACTATTTTCGATCTCCTAGTGCCATAATACAGTTTTTCAAGTAATTTACAGTTAAAATCTTATTTTCTTTGAAACAATTCTGGACTATTTTTAGTCAGTCCACTCAATGTTTTTCCCTCAATAACGGTATTTACCCATATATAAGTTTAGGCCAAAACTGAATTGGCAACAACATACTGCTCCTTACCACTCCTGACATTTTTAATTCTCTCATCTCATTCAGATTGTTAACTTTTACTAGTATAGAAAGTCTTGTCCAAGTCCCTTTAATGCTTTTATTGGAGAATAAGAGAAAACTGCTCTCATGGAAGACAGCTCCCAATATCATAAAGGCATAAAGGTAGGTGGCCATGTGCAAGTGTAAAAGGAGGGTAGCTTTTACTAACTTCACAATATATTTTTTCTTTCTGGAAAGCACAGTGAAAATCCTTAAGTCGTCTGGTGATCTCATTGCGCTGAGACCAGCACAGTTCCCAAACCCATGACTCATCCCAATCCCAGCAAAAAAACTGCTGGAGAGACAGATGTTTTGTTTATGAATTAATTCCTTCAGTATGTCCTGCTCAAAATAAAAAAAAAATAAAAAATCAGGCTTTACTTTGTATGCAAAACATAAAGCACGGCAGTCATATTCCTGCATTACTCTTCTCTAAAGGGCCTGTCTCCAGCTCCCCCCAGGTGGCCACAGGCGCCACCAAGCCAGTGGCACGTCCCAGCCTGGCCTCAGGCCACCCCTACAGCCCTGTGTGACCACAGCTCTGCTCAGCAGGACTTCTTGTGATCCAGCCCCCAGCTGCTGGTGAGCTGACACCCAGCCTGGGCTCCACCTCAGCCCCAGCGAGGTGTCCCACGGCCCAGGCTGAGGCCACCCAACAGGCTGGACCCAGGGAGCCCTCACCACTGCTGGTGCCACAGCCACAGGGACCCTGCAGCTCACAGGGCACCTGGGCAGGTTTAACCAACGTGAGAAACCAAAGATCAGCTTAAAACCACCAGCAGCTGTTTGCACAAGGAACGCCAGCAACAGCTTGAGCAAACGCACTAAGCGGCAAACAGGATCCAAAGCCTGTGCTTACTCAAGCCTTCTGCAGGTATTCCAAGTTCATAAGTACATGGGAAGGGAAAACAAAGGCATCAAGCAAACAAAACTTGTTTTTACTCTCTTTTAGAAGGTTTTAAGTAATGGATAGCAGATCATGAGAGACACTACCACAGAAGTTACCAGCAAAGGACAGGCAAAGTGTTGAGAGTAGAGAAGCACAAGGAAGGAAAGTCAGAACACCTAATCATTGCCTGCACATAGTAATGCAGCAGCAGTAGCCAGCTGGAGCTATTTCTTCTTCAAATAAAAGGTAATTATGCAAGAGACTACCCAGCTCAGCAGTGGGAAAGAAGACAACATGCATCTGAAAAGCTATACTACTAAATCAAAAACTTTCTGCTTATACGTGGTTAGCAAGGGCAGCAAGGACTTCAAAACTGCAGATGGAGATCTTCAGAGGGAGGGCTGCAAAACTTCTGCAGAATGACAGCAGCAGCCTGATTTGACGATGACCTAAAAAGGCTGCAGAATCTCCCTTAGTCACCACACCTCCTGTAGGCAAGCCTCAATGCACAGAGCCAAAGTAACTCATGACAAACTCTGAGCTGAGACTTAGTAGAAAAGAAAAATGACACAAGAAACTCTAGTCTAATAAAAGCACATTAAAAATTGCTTCAGTGACACTGGCAAGAAACCCAAATTTGATAGGAGGCAAAGGAGCTGCCAAGCCTTGCCAGTTCTTCCACTCTAAGTCAAGATAACAAGATAACCACTTCAACAACCGTATGATAATTAGAGAGACAAACACATCCTTTATATGTCAAAAAAATTCCTGGTTATTCGAATACAACAGTTCATGCATAATAGTGCTCAGATAACAACTCATCAACATTTAGCAACATCCTGGGAGCATAATCCAATTCTAGTAAAATGATAAATAGAGCAAGGCAAAAAGGAGAATTATGCACAAAATGGTCTCGCTCACAGTTAAGAATGGTTCCTGTTCCATATCGGCCCCCAATAGGCAGTCATCTGAATTTAAGGAAGTCTGTAAATTTGAAATTAGAACAGAAAATAAATCCTTGAACCTATAACCACATCTAAACAGAAAGAAAAAAGTTCAAATAGTTAGCATTGCTACTGTGTAGACATAGCAGTGGAATTAACACTTAAAATCAGATTTTTGAGCAATTTGTGCAGTAGTTCAAAAAAAGTAAAAGCAGTTTCACAGATGTTCTAGTGCTAGAACATGTAACTATCAGTAAGACACTAGGCTACAAACCTCAATAATTCTATCTTTCAAAATGCTGGGTATATAAAAAAAATAAGACTGCAACTTCTTCCTGAACAGTTATGAGCAATTTTGAGGTAATATTTCAAAATAAACCTTGCTGAATTTCAAAGGCTTATTTTCCAAAGGTTTTTTCCAAAGTTTTGCTCCCTGTTCAGTCAGTGAATATATAAAATGACAAGCACAACTGCCCACTGTAAACAAGCGCTCTTATACCCACTTATAGATAAGAGATTCTTTACAGCATTCTCTGTTGCATAAGGAGGCAACATTTTGAAATTCAAAGCAAAAAATATCAATAAAATCTAAATAAACAGGTACCAATGATGGGCAAAATTTCAGTTAAGACTTACTCATTGTTTTTGGTGTTCTACTGAACATCAAAAACAATGGATCAACTTATTTCTGGTGAAAGAGGAATGAGGAAGTTTTTGTTCAGAAAGAAGTTTAACTCTACTGAAACTCAGAAAATAGATTTCGAAAGCATTTCAAAAGATCCAGTCCCTAATGGGGGTGACTCAAACATGTATTATTTACAACTGATATTTCTCTAAGCAGTTAACACCAACTCAAGGTAACCTCCTGTGGGAAACAGTAAAGGTAAGAAAATTTTCAGAAAGCTGGTAAAGCAGGCCTTAGAAAGAACAGAGAACTAGCTGCAGCTACATCTGTCTAAGTCAAAGGAAGCCCACTCTAAGCATACAAGATATAAATAAATGAATAAATAAATGGAACAAGCAATTTCTTGGCTTGTTTTAATAGCCTTTAGTCTAACTTACTACTAATGCAATTTCTACAATTTATACCTCAGCTGCATCTGCATAATACTTCAAACTCACAAGCACTGACAGAGTGAATAAATGCACTAAAAGTAGTAATGAAACTAGTAATCTGACATTTCAAAATCAGAAACTATTGTCCCTGTCTTGATGGATAAAATTAGTTTGAACGGTCTTAGAAGAAATACAGATTTATATCTTCAAAATTCAAATTTAAAACTGAAAAAAGGGAAGACCTTTCTATTTAGCACAGATCAAAAATGACAAAAATCTGTCCATGCAAAGGATGAGCACTTACTTGGACATTTTGGTTGCAGAATATACAGCTCATAGTCGGCAGACGGACATGTCCTGTTTGACCCATGCTTAATTACAGTGCTCTGCCAAGCATTCCTGTCTTACTTGAGCATTCCTTGTTACACACCAGGTTCATGCCTGTGCTTGTGACACATAAGCATGAGGTAACTGCAGGGCTTATGCACAAGGTAAAAGTATGCAACAGTCACATGCATCCATGCTGGGATAGCTCAGCACTTTTGCAGAAAACCACAGACAGTACAATGGGCAAAGGATAAATTATGATCCTGACAAGTGTTTTATCCTTGCCACCTGATGAAGAGATCCCACACAGCCATTAAAAGCACTGCAAGGGGTTGATCTAATTTACAAGGAATTTGGAAAATTCATATATATTTAAAAGTGGATTTGAAAACTGTCACTTATACTCAAGTTGTCATTTTCACTCAAATAAAAATCCACAATGACAGCCATCAAGCATTCCCAAAGGAGAAGGAAACTAGAAACCTAGAGCATATTCATAAAAAGAGGTTAGGTGAAGAAATGAAACCAGTCAAGTCTTTAGTGACAGTTGAAATCAAATGAAAAACCTAAGATTACAACTCCTCTTGTGTTTTCCCTTATAGTTATTAATTTTTTCAAATTACGAATTACAAGTCTTTAGGCAGAAAGCTTAATTGCTTGCTTTGTATCAAGCAAGTTCCAGACAGAAACAGTTTTTTAACTTTTCCAAAATTAGGCTTTGACTGAACAGAATTTCTGGGATGATGAAACATGCTTACCAAGCACTGCCAAAAGTGAAATTCCATGTCACTTCCTTTTGGTTTCCTTTGAATTACTGCACATGTAAATTAGGTACCTTGAAGAACAGCAAATGATATTAACTACAAGGCATCCTTAAACAGTACGAAAAAGATGCCAGTTTCCACCTTCTAGCACAATCATACAAAACAAAGAGGTTATCAATGAGCAGAGAGCACAGCTCTTCCTTCAAGCCAAAGCAGCAAAAGATATTATCTGACTTCACTGACAAACTGTTACATTTTAGGTGGTCTAATAATACAAAATGCTCCAAAATACAAAATTTAAAAAAAAAAAAAAACAAATAAACCCAAAAAAACCACAATTGTATGGTCAATCCTAAAGTAAAGAGTGGTAATTCTCAGCCAAGTACACAAATAGATGCAAACAAAGTATACTGAAATAAAGGACTAGATTTGAAAACTCACATTTATAAGTTGTATCCTGCCGTCCCACATAACGTTCCCTCTTCCCATTTTAGTTCAGAGACAGCACTTCACATACTATAACAAAGGGGTTAACGTGTTTATCTCCAGTATACCCATTCTATTAAACCAACAAGAAAAAAAAAAGGAAAAAAGAAAGAAGCAAACCCATATGCAAAGGTCAGATTTCCAAACCATTCTCACCTGACTACAGGGACAGTATCCATAGGGGAAGGCTCCCTTTCTCTTCCTGGTCTATTTCAAAATGACCTTTCTTTGATTACCTTCATAAACTTGTTTTGCTAAATTGGAAATATCTACAAACATTGCTGTGCCCACTGGTGGAAAATGGTAGGCAAAAAGGACCTTCTTCGGTCACTCTGAATCTTGAACATAGAAAATAATGCAGGAAAGAGTATCCAGAAGAGCATCCATATTATTTTTCCATAAAATGATGTACAGTATCTGCACTACCAGTGAAGTCTAGAATTTAGAACGGCTCTCAGAAATAATTTGTATTAGGCAGCCACTACTGGCATTATGCAAGCTTCAGTGTGACATCAGTGTTCTTCTTTTAAAACTCAAATCGCTAAACAAGACTGATGCCTACTGATTTGTGGATTAAAAGAAACTGCTTGCAATGAAGCATTTGGTTGACTTAAGAGATTGAATTTTTAGAAAACCATTTTCTGGCAGTCACACTTTACACACATTAACAGAAGATCTCAGAAGTCATATTCTAAGAGAGGAATTGCCACCTCCACCTTAGAAAGAAAAAAATAATCCCAACTAACTTTATCAATATAGTTCTAATTCTAGTGTCTGGCAGGAACCGTCTGTCTCTTACTGCAGTGTTTCCTCTGATTATGCAGTTTAAGAAAAAGAGGTTTGTCTCTATGCTAAATCAGTCCCAAAATCCTTTAAAATTATTATGATAATCTAGGCATATAATTATTTTTTCACCACAGTACTACATTCTGTTCAACACCTCTACTTCAACTCCATCAAGCTGTAACTCCTGTCCTGTTTCGATACAGTTTTGAAGAATGCCTTGAGCAATTTAAATCTGCAAATTTCATACCACAACCTGAATACACAGAAGTGATAATGAACTTAGCTGGTTACAGGAGACAAAATCATTTCCCAGTTTATGCATCTCCAGTATGTAGTTTTTTGGGGGGAGGAGTGGGCAGTACTATGCAGGTGATATAGAAGAAAAGGAATTGGAAGCAAAACGTTGGATCTGAATGCCATACCTGTGGAATATTACCAGTTCTGATCCACACAACTCTGCTTTTATTAGCCTTTTGAGTGTGTTTCCTGAAGAAGACATAAAAAGAAATTACCTACTACCACTTTTTATATAAACTTAGTTTCAGTAAGTGCTTACACTACTTTGTGCCTGATCTTTGAGCTTATGTCCTCTAATTCACATATATTGGTAGACTACATTTTGGGAATATTTCAGTTATGTTTGAAGAACAATGTTTTGATGAGAGAGAAATCTAGGACAGTTTTACAGCTTTAATAAAATGCCCTCATTGTTATTATTCAACAACACATTTCCAATGAAAATAGGAATGATGTCATTTATTTAAGGAGAGGCAGAAACCTAAACACTGCAATCACACATGACAGAAATTGGTGGTACAATCCCAATAATTTCAAAATGTGAAGAGGGGCGTAGGTGAAAGGGAGAACAATATTCCCAATTCGCTTGAAGTTACCCAAGTTTAATGAACAAATGTGATTCTTTGTATTTCAGGGTTTTTAAATCTACACGGAACAGTCTACTTGAAATTAACATGTTCTTCTGGCTATTTCTGCTGTGATTGACAATGAATGAAGATGAAAGATAAAACTGACAATGAAAGAAGATGAATTTCATCTTCCCTTCAAGCCCATGCAATCTTTTTTCATTTGCAATTTGCCAACACCCAAAGATATTAACCATAGCCTTCAGGCTATTCCCAGGCTTTATTATTGCAGGGACAGAAAATGACAACGTTTTCATACAGTGCTTTC